CGTGCGTGCGTGCGTGCGTGCGTGCGTGCGTGCGTGCGTAGGTATGTATGTATGCATGTATGTATTTATGTTTGTATGTATGTATGTATGTATGCATGTATGTATGTGTGTATGTATGTGTGTGTGTATGTATGTGTATATCTATGTGTATGTGTATGTGTATGTGTATGTGTGTATGTGTATGTGTACGTCTATGTATACGTATATGTATATATGTATGTATGTATGTATGTATGTATGTATGTGTTCATGTAGATATATATATATATATATACATATATATATATACATATCCATTACGTATGCGCATGTTGACATTGATTCGCTGCTGCATCTCATCAAACAACCGAACACAGCCTCCTGTCCCAACGGCTCACTGCGCCACAGTCGGCCAGAACAGGAAGCCTTCAGAAATCGAGGAATATACAGTGATACTGAGACTATTTAAGTGTTAGAACAGTGGGAGGGCTCGATTAAAGAGAGGACATGGTGGTAGTGCTGATTGGAAGCGGCCGACATGCGCCACTCTCTCCTCTACACGCCGCAGCCGCAGCTTCTGAAGCCTGCGTCGGCGTGCCACGATTTCTGATGTTCAATGAGTTGACCGTCCACTGACGGAAATCATATACACAAACGTACGTGGCCATGTCAAGTTGGTTGGGGCGCTGACCTGTTGTGCATGTTCCGTACTTGAACCTAAAGCAACAGCCTAGCCCGAAACATGCTGCCCAGGCTATGCTGCTCACCAGGGTTCACACTCAAGTCAATTCCGCAACATATCATGCGTCCACTTCTGGAGCCGGGCAAACTGCTATCTCAAACAAACCGCCACCTGCTAAAAAAGAACACTTCACTATTCACCAAGAACCCACGTGACAGGTGTTGGGCAATGTTGCGCCACAACATCTGTTTTGCGGGACCCCTTGTTTAATAAGCTCCACTTGTTGATCTTTTAGGACCTGTCAAGCTCGCTGCACTCCGACTCTTGCGCGACACGGTGCCCGTTGCATCCTTGGCAAACGGCAAACAGCATGTGCCTTGGACAATGAGAGGCTCCAGTTCCATACAAAGTGATACCCGTTGACCGACAATGATAATTACAGAGTTTCTGGTATATCTCAGAATTGCCGAGCTCTCAGCTTCTGAACACAAATGCAAGTTCCCAGGTGGCCTCGGGGGCAACTCCTCTGGCGGCAAGCGCAAGACGGGCAACAAGGTGCCCAGGAGTGCCTGCCGACCCGAGTCGCGCAATGAGGCTGACACGGGACTCCAGTGAACGGTAACATGGCCCTTCAGGCTCCACTTCGCGATGCACAGCAGGAAAGGAACGCCCCCACAGCGAACAAGACCACACATGGGTTGATGAACGACCCAAAAAGCAAAGCGCAAGTATTTCTTCCTGTCCAACGGCCGGTGCTCAGCTAGTTCCTCATGCTTTCCTAGTTACAGTAGCCATTGGGCCACATAGCTATGTCGTTAGTGTTGGTTAGTTACTGCAGCGACTTAGTCAGCCAGTCGGCGAGCGACTACGCGAGTCATCGAGCCAGCCAGTCAGCCAGCCAGCCAGGCAGTCTGTCAGTCAGTCAGCTACACTTCCCTACCGCATCCTACCGCACCCAATTACGAGAGTTGATGTGCGGCCAGATTTTGGTCTGTTGGCTGGCTAGCTGGCTAGTTGATTGTTTCCTTAGCACGTGAGTTAGCTACTGACTTGGTCCAATTGTGGTATGGGACCCGAAGGTTTTCTCCTCATTCATACGAGTGGGACCAAAACAGTCCGGCTCCTAGGTCGAACTCCGACGCCCCACTCTGACAATGGATGCAGTTGCAACGTCCCACTCAACTTGCTCGTTGAGAATCTCCGGCCGTGTAATTCAGGACCACCCCCCACGTTTGCGAGCTCGAGGCAAAGTCTGCAATGCGTCTCAATGCGTACCTACAAGGACAACAGAATGGGATTGCAGAGCTCTCAAGCCAAACTGACATGATCATAGGGTCAACATGTTAGCATTGTTTAGCTCCTCGTGTGAGCTCCTGATGATCTTGGTTTGGCCCAAGAGATCCCAAGAGTACGCACCTGCAAAACCGAATATCGACGTTTCCCAGGGATCCTTCACTTAAGAAGCGCCCGGCTTCCAGGTCGACCTATCCTCCAGAACGTGACTTGCAATTGGTCGCAATGCAGTGGATGTTTGCTGAAAGTCTGCAAGACCCGCAAGCACAAAGGATGCAATGGCAGATACTTCCATCTGCAAAGTTGGGCAAACAGCTAGCAACGGTTGAGCAAGGCCACCCAGGAAATGCTTTACTATGAATGCAATGGTTCATAGCGACACACTACTTCACCACATCGGGAAGTATTGCCAATGATTCCCCGGCCGGCAGCTTGATATGAATCCTGCAGCCATCTTCTCCTTTCGGAACCCACAGTGAAGAAAGAGACGTACGTCAAAATCGGGAGAAGTTGTTCCTTCGAGACTCTCTTTGAAACCAGCCAAAG